ACGCACCACACAACTACAAAGAGAAGCATTAGAATTAGAGATTGAACAGTAACAAAGGAAAATTAATGAGGATGAACTATTCCGTTACACCGAGGTGTCAACCACGTAGAAGTTCTGAGTGCTGTTTCGCCGGTTGATGCACTCCTCAACCTCGCCTAGCCAGTAATAAGAACCCCGGTAAAGAAGGGAAGTTTGGCATGAGGCTAGCAACCCCACCACCCCTTAAGAATAATGCCATGGTGACTGAAGCTTCATAGCTTGAAACTCGATTTTTCACTCGAAACACAAGGAATGCCAGAATTCATTGCCTCTTTCGTTCTTTTCAGTTTCATACAGCCGAAAATAACTTTAACGTCAATATACGGTACATTCCACATGCATGAAGGTGAAGGATGGAGAGGATAGCTGTTATTAACCTTGTTATAAGCTGATTTACTTGAAGTACGAAATGAATAGGAATTTCAGGTTTCTGAAATCCATAGTGCTGTACGTACTACTGATTGATTGGGATGAGTAGTTAGTTCGACACCACTCTTAAAAACCAGTAGTACTTAATGTCCGACTACGATTGTTATGATCTAAACATCAAACCGCCGTTCCACTCATGTGGGGAGTGGGTGAGGTAACCCCCTATCGATAGCGGCTACCGTGATGTAGTAGTCGCCGGGCTTGCGCATATCACAATGATCCAACAAGCTACACTGGCCGGGACTTTTGTTCCTGCAGGTCCCACCATGCCGGAAGGTTGTTATGATAGCGATAAGACTAAAAGCAGTTACCGGCATAGTGTAAGAATTTTTTTACACTATGCTGGGGGTCTGTGAGCGGAGTCGTACTGCTGGGGAACAGAGATGTAACAGCAGTAAGGTGTTTCCCTCAGATGACCAGTATGCCAGCTATGTTGTCTCTCCACTCTGGAGAGGAGGGGGTTGGAAAAGGTCGACCCCGAGAATTGTACATCTCGACTTACCCTACGGTGGTCCGTAAACGTTGGTAAGTTATTAATACGGAACCAATCCAAGAAATCAGTTTATACAGGCCGTGTATGACCGGCCTCAAGCAGTTGTCCCCTAGTCTCTGCGATCATGCAACACTAACCGCCTTTCTGTTTCAGTTACCCGAAGAATCAATCAACTTCCACGGTGTGGGCAGCCGGGAATTAACAACTACACACTTCCTGTTGGGTGAGGTCACCAGTGGTTTGACTCAGTATAGAGTACCGAATAAGTTCAAATAATCCAAATTCTAGCTAGCTACTTGAACGAACACTGGTAATGCGTCAAATTAGATTAGCGATTTAAAAGTGACACAGTTCAAGGACTGAAGTGTTTGACTACAGTTTATTTTTAGAAAGCAAAATTTTTTCCCATCAAAATTGATTAGTGTAGTTGGATATCATTCACATCAACTAGTATTGATTTGATTCAAATAGAATTTTATTTTGTATATCATCAGCTGTCAATCTTAATTTATTCTAGTGGTGTGTCGAGAAATCCGTTTCAACTTTTAATAGTCTATTGAACTCATAAAATAATGGAGAAACTTCTTTAACAATTGTTTATTTCTGAAGCATTGTGATGACCATTGGGATTTTCTCCTTGTTAAACCTGTTGTGAAATTCAGAAGCTTAGGGACTTTGGCTGAGTATTGAATTTTAAATTTATACTCTGGTTATCCACCAATGATAAGAGATGACTTGAAATATAGAAGGTAGTAAGGCTTATGTGAATCATTGATTCAAAGAATTTCTGGTTCTTGACCTGAAATTATCAGTGAGATTCAATAGAATGTTAGCTGGAGAATGAGAGTTATTCACAATTTACTTGCTTTTTCTGACCTACTTAGTTTTTTCGGGAATTCAGGATGTGGAAACATGTGACTCTGTGAACTAGGATTCAGAGACAGACGATAAATTTAAGACTTGGTTTTGGGTATTCTACCAGATTTGAAAATACAGGCTTAACTGATGATTTCATATTGGATAAGTTTATGTTAAATATCAAACAGTACTATTATTATTGTTTCCTTTAATTCCTAGAGGAACATAGAACTTCAGCTGGACTTCTCCGTTGCGTTCCGTTCTCTGCCGACGTTTTGACCTGGCTCCACATCTGCCCACCTACTTTCATCTCCTCTTCACATGACCTCCTCCATGTCACCCTCGCACTGGCGACCAGCTAACTCTCCGCTTCCTATTCGGGTTTCACTTGAGTGATGACCTGTCGTGTGATGCCACCTAGTGGTTTTTTCAGAGTAAAGCCAGTCCACCTCCATTTCTTCCAGCATGTTTGTTACACAATTGGTTCCTGCTGGGTTGGTTCCTTCATTGCCAGAGATCCCTTACTATTGCTGATCTTTTCTGGCCGGCCATCTGATCTTGAGTAGTTTTAAGCGAAGACAGCTGCTGAAAAAGGTCTGTAGTTTGTTCGAAGTGCACTTGGTGACGCGCCTAAGTCTCAGATCCGTATAGTAAGTAGCACTGACTTCACATTGGAGTTGAAAATCCTCACCTTATTTTCATTTTCATGCTGAGTGCTGTTGATCTCCACACAGACTAGAGGTTAGTGAAAGCCTGTCTTGCTTTCTTGACCCTCGCTTTGATATCCTCATCAGTTGCGTCCGCCCGTAGTTGAAACGATGCTTCCCAGGTAGGTAGGTAAGTAGATATGTAAATGAGGTTGCTTCTTTCAGATTTCTCCCATTTATAGTGATTGTTGTCTGTTGTTGTTTCTGTTGCTGTTGGTCAGCTATCTTCATCATCAACTTTGTTTTCTCTATGTTCACTTGAAGTCCTATCTTCTTTGGATGCTCCTTCTGCCAACTTGTTGCTTTTCATCACCTGCATATCTTCCAGTTTGTGGGAAATCAGACACATATCATCGGTGAAGTTCAGATCCTCCAAGTTTTTTGTGTGGGTCCATTTATGCCTGTCTGTTTCCTCGCTACCCGCTGTCTGTATTGATAACTGGATGATGCCTCGAGCATAAATTATTATTGCTTGTAATCATATCGTTTTAGTCACAAAGTTTCACAATTTTTCCTATGTATATTTTCTCTCTTTCTCTCTCTTTTAACTTGTTGTTTGTTGCCACCTTCCGTATCTCCGGTATCTGTGTTGCGTCATTACGATTGCACATGTGCAGTGATGAATCGATAAACAAAGTTTCAGTGAATAACCTCTCTCTCCACCTATGTTACTCCTTAATACTGTCATCTTGCCCCACCCTACTTTGTGATTGCATACAAGTGAATGCAGTGCAGTTACTGAGCTTTTTTCGAAGTTATTTAGCCTAGCTGGTCAATTATTCTAGGTCTAGCTAAATATTTGTGTTTCAATAATCTGGTTAACCCCAATTTACTAGTTCGACTTATGTAACTGACCTGACAGTGATTAAATGGTACTCGGTAAATTATATTACTTTTCCTAATTGGTTCTGTTGGGGGGTCCGACGTAGTTTATCTCTGAGAGATTTGGTTGGTTGGTTGGTTTAAATGGCACCCTAATAATTCCAGCCTCATTGAGAATCTTACGTAAGGTATCTGACGTCCCTCCTTTAAATAATATGGCTGTACTACAGAGGCCTCTACGCTTATTTTAACTGATGATATCTCACTTTCGCCATATTCCTTGTCGAAAATATGTCATATATCTTTTGAGTTCTCTTACTGTTAGTATTGTTCATGATGCTCTGAGTCTCCCTAATTAACTGACTGATTGTCAGTTACTAATTGGCATAGATAAACTGGGAAAATGTTCTGTACACGTATTATTTTGAATATATATGGGATATATGTATTACTCCCCCTCGAAATATGGGACGTTGCTTTACTATTTGTCTCCATAGGTCTCTTTCCTGACAAGCGGCAATGGAATGGTTTAACACTTGAACCTGGTGACCGTTTCCCAATAAATTAGAGTACAAACGTCTACCTCAACTTTATAGACTTTGAGAAAGCCTTCGATCGTGAAGTAATTTGGAAATTACTCGAGTATTATGGCGTACCCCAAATATTCATCAACCTTATTCAACAGCTGTACGACAACGGCACCTGCCAAGCGATCCACAACGGAAGACTCAGTGAGGCGTTTGGATTAAACACAGAAGTCAGACACGGGTGCTGATTATCACCCACGATGATATTCCTAATTGTGGTGGACTGGATTATGCATCAGTGGGAAACGAGAAACGGGACAGGGATATCCTGGGCCGACGCAAAGAACCTAGAAGACCTGAATTTCGCACGTGAATAGTTTGTGTTTGATGTCATACAAAATCGAAGGCTTACAAGCGAAAACCGACAAACTGGTCGAAGAAGCTGCCGGTGAAGACAGGACTCCATGTGAACATAGACAAGATGGAGGTTATGAAAATAACCAGCCAACAACAACAACAGCAGCAACATCCGGCGCCAGTCATCATCAACGGGAGGGATTTGAAAGATGTCACTTCATCCACTTATCTAGGGAGCATTGTCTCAACTGCAGGAAGTCGGAACGGACGGCGATGTCAAATCGAGCGAGAATCGGGAAGGCGAGAACACATTCATCAACCTGAAACCAATCTGGAAATCCTCGTCACTCAGCATCAACAACAAAATTCACTCGGATTTTCAATACAAACGTGAAGTCAGTCAGCTCTTCTATACGGGTCAGAAACTTGGCGAGCGGGTCACAAAGAATATTTCCAACAGCCTGTTGCAGACCTTTATCAACCAACAACTGTCTTCGCTGGCTCTATACTGAAGATCAGATGACCAGGCCGGAAAGAATCACCAACAAGAAACCATGGGATCAAACAAAACAAGAACCAATCCCCAGCCAAAAAATATGCAGGAGAAAGTGGAGATGGATGGATTGGACACTCGCGTCTGAGGAGGCCTATAGTTTCGTGTTCTAAAGGCGCATTCTAGTCAGGTGTTAGACGACAACCATACACCAGTATCAATTGGTCATAACAACGTGTGTTTATTTTTCTCTATTTATTTCTATTTTCTTATAGAATTATACACGAAGGAGGATTTACCCAAGAGGATAATAAACAATATAAACCGGTTGTCTATAGCAATACAATTCAATCGATGGTTGCTATACTCAGAGCAATGAATACTCTTGGTATTCAATTTGGTGACAGTGAACAAGGTGTAAGTGTAACTGTTGAATTTTGAGATTATTATTATTTTTTCCTTTTGTAAGTGGTTGTTCCCTACTTGTGTTTATATATTCGGAAGGAAAGGCCAACTTCATTTTTAAACTATATGTGACGACATTTCATTTTAGAGCTCTTCAACAGGATCTACATGTTACTCTTCAACTTATTACAGGAATTTCGACAACACAATAAGAATAGACGTAGTTCATCTGAAACGTGTGTCATGTATTGGCGCAACACATTTCGGACATTTTGATCACACACCCGGGTACTTGTCATACACAGTTTTTATAGAAGTCAAGAAGGCATAAATAATTACAATAAGGTCAGATTGTGTACAAGTCAAGGTCACAAATAATGGGTAAGGAAATGACGCAAAGGTGTGGGTAAGAAAGATAAAAAGAGAAGAAGAAAACAAGGCAAAGAAGGGGTTGAAAATATTATGAAAGTAAATTAGTCCTTGGTTCTAAATTGGATTACCAAGGAAGGAAGGTTTATGGTGATAACAAATAACTTTTGGACACATAAGACAGGTTTAAGTTTTTTTATGACTGAGGCTTCAATAAATCAAAGTATGTGGCCCAACCTTGTTTTATATATCGGCTTACAGGTATTGTTGAAATCAACCTTATGATCCGTCTCTATAATGTGCTTCGCTATAGATAATGTTGGACGTCTATTTCCGGGGTCAATTGTATCCAGCACTTTGACCTGTACACAATCTCACCTGTATTGTAATTATTTATGCCTTCTTGACTTCTATAAAAACTGTGTATGACAAGTGCACGTGTGTGTGAACAGAATGTTCGAAATGTGTTGCGCCAATACATGACACACGTTTCAGATGAACTATGTCTATTCTTATTGTGTTGTCGAAATTCATAAATGGAACTAATTGGTTTAAATAATTGCAGGAATTCTGAAGATATAAAACGGTTCTTGATCGGTTTCAAGCATCCTGTAGGCAATAATAGAAGTGATGAATCAACATGTGCACGGCGTGAAAGAAAGTCAACCTTAGATTCTTCAATATTTCGTACAAAATGTTGATTGAAAAAACAACCCTCTGAAATTCGGACATATTTGATGACCGATTAATTTTAAGAGATTGCCTGTGATTTGACCACAAATATGCGATATTTTTAGCTCAAAATGCCTTTTCTTTTGGTGTCAACATTATCAATATCAAGGGAAATAGCTAGTGCTTATGCCGGATTGGTCATTTGAAGAAAATTTTCCATGTATTGCTGATGTTATTTGCATATATCTCACTGGTGTCGCTTCACTGCGTCCACTTCAGATGTTTCCGTTATCGAATTCAGTATAACGCGTTTGTCCTGAGCTGTGTAATTTGTGACAGTTGAACATCGTTATAAACACGGTTGGAAGCAGAGTGAATCACACCTGAAGGGCAAGGTTAAACTTTAAACACAACTGACTACCAATCAGTAAATGACCTTGAAAGCACCAATCACGTGAAGGAGGCAATTTTGTGTCTAGCATGCATATATTTATGAGAAAAAAATGCATAAAAACTGTAGAAAAGTGTTACAGAGGATACCTTGCTCTCACATGCTCTTAGTTTTATATCGGAGTGAATCAACAGGTATAATTCCATTGTGAGTAAAATTTATCTTGATAAAGTCTCATGGTGTAATACAGTAATATTTCCTGAGCAATAAATTGTGCTCGAAACGTGGTCATCAGTAAATATTACTGTGTAACACTGTGAGACTTTATCAAAGTAAATGTCACCCCCACAATGGAATTATACTCCACCACTGTGTACAAGTATTATTCTCATATCAATAGAGTAATTTAACCACATTTTATACTTGTAATTATTTAGTTCTTCTAATCCTAATCTTTTCTGAACCTAATCCTTAGGGGAAAATATCCCTAAACTAACTGTAATCTAGCTCGAACCATCCCTAGTGTTGCCTTTATTACGTTAATCTAACCCTAACTTGTCCGTGGCTTAAAGCGTAACTTAATCTTTCCCAAACTTAAGCTGCAACTTGCCAGATGGCATAACACTTCAATGAGCATATTTTACTGTTGATGACAACATTACTTGCAAGATTTCACTAACTTGCTCAGTGAGCGTTTCAAAGTCATTGGTGCTGCTGCACTCTATTGGTAGTTAGTTGTACTTAAAGTCTAACTTGACCGGCAGAAGATAAGAGAATTGATAATGCCGCATCATATATAGTATACATTTTTAACCACATTTAAAGTCGGCTAGGTCAGTGGACAAAAATAAACTGATCTGATTGGTTGGCGATTGGTCCATGGTCAAACAATGAGACGAAAAGTTGTCCAATGAGGTGGTTATTTCAAATTTCCACAATGTAAAACTAAATCCAGATTTGAGAAATAAACACGTCTACCTCTGAAGCCAGGGATTTTTGCATGTTCATTTAAATTTTTGGCCGCCTCCCATCAATCTGCATGTCCATAGCACACAACACAATACTACCTAGCAGCTTAGTGTGAAGCAGATTTTGTTCACTTGAGTTCGTAATCGGATATCCTGAGATTTTGAATTTCAATTAATTTTGATGTGGTTGTGTTCTTTGAGCTAGATGGTTAATTTACGAAGCTTTCATCACCCTACTGGGTGATATCTTCAGCGCATACTTAAATTCCATGAAGTGAGCTTTTAGATTTCTCCACGAGTTTAGTAATCATCTCTCCTGGTGAACTTGGACATGATTGGTTATTTGTGTGTTTTCACACCTTCTGGGTTACTTGTATTGGGACTGATTGTTTCTTTGATTTGAACTTTGACCCTTTATGTGTGAAGTTTCTTTCTTATCGGTTGATAAATTTTGTCTATCTCTATGTGTCTATTGATTGATGATTCACTGGAATACCAGGCTGGCTTCTAAAAATTCTCTGGCATTCTTGTTGTTTCCTCTGTCTAATATTTGAACGCTGGTTGTCCCAGTCGAATTGATGTCCGTGGTTGTCTGTATGTAGTGATATGAGGGAGTGGATGTCATGTCTTTTGATCGCTAGCTTATGTTCATGGATGCGAAGAAGATGAAGGGACGTCCAAGCCTTCTATATAACCTCTGCTATAGTTACCATCGCATATATGGGTATTAAACAAAGCAGCCTAACTGAGCGTTAACAAACCTAAACAAGGTTAAAACCTTTGATCTCAGTTTGTAATATCTGAGTCATTTAGGAGCATTTCACAAACTTTTTCTTTAAGTTAGGGTACTATCCCCAAATAATAAGAGGAGTAAAGAAGCTATGCAAATATGCCTTGCTTGGTGGGTAGCTACGGGAACACAACGTCGAAAATGATTGACTCTCTTTACATGAATTTCTAAAATTACATCATCTAAAAGTTCAATAATATGTCAATAAAATCTATGGTGAATTGACAGAATTTGAAATTCATGGACCACTGGATCGGTTCCCAGTGGCCGAATGGTCTACGAGCTCACCTTATAACCTGAGGCTCCTGGGTTCGAACCCTGGCGCGCGGTGCCTGGTAATAAAGAGTCTTAAACTAGGACGAAGCTGTCGGCTGTTCAGTACTCTAAGGTCATCCAATGATCCTTTAACTGATAATATCTCAAATAGTGATCAAACCTGTAACTAACCAATCGAATTCCTGAAAGCCAACACTTGAATATTGAGAAGTAGTCAAAGTTGGAGTGTCAGAATTGTCAACGTGCTCTCCTCATAAACTAAAGGTCACATGGTTTATTCACTTTTGACTTATTTATCATTTGAAGTTGATAAACAGTGACCATTGTGTAAAACTAGGGTGTTTCTGGTCAATGTACAATGATCACTTATCTACTCGGGTAATTAGTAAATAAATAAGTTGGATTTTTAAAATTTATTTTTGTTTCCCTCCCATGATTAGACTCAACGTCTAGACATCCTTGTCAGGTTACTTTGATGTCGCCATGATTTACATGTAGACAACTGTAAATTTCATGATATGCATCTCTTTTTATCACGGCATCTTCATCTTCATTGATGCATGAAGTCCGCTAGTTTGACTCATGAGAACTCACATCTTTTCTACCGGATGGCCTAGGAGATAACACTTCGGCTTTTGAAGTGATTGGTGTTATGCTTCAGTCCTACACATACCGTGCAGGGTGGTGCAAGTACAGATTAGGTTAGCAAGCCCAATTTTAAAACTGACTTTAGTTAGAGAACCATTGAAAACCACATTGAGCTGGACAGCTGTTTTGTCCATGTTTAGGACTCTTCAACAGTACTCACCCCAGGGTGTTGAGGTCCCAAGGCACGAGCTCCTTTACCATTCATTCCCTACTCGATTAGCATCCAATATCCCATCATGTTGGCGCATTCATTCATTCATTTCGTAATTTACCCAACTAGCTATCCTATCAACTTTTCAGAGTAGAAGGAATTGCCCAGAGTGTTGATTGACTGACTGACTGATTGACTAACTGACTATTTTATGTATTGATTTCTCAGTTATTTAGGGCAATATAAATCATTCTCCATGTAAAAAATATGATATCAGAATATAAAATGCTTACTACTGGAAGAAAATGTTGAGAAATATTTTAGCTATTCACATCCTATCATCACATACAGGATGAATGAAAACCCCATTGAATAAATATAATACGACGTGTAGGCAGGATATGACAGAAAGAGAGTGTATGGAAGGAGAAAGGGAAGAAGAGTGGCGAGTGAGCAAGAGAAAGCGCGCGCGCGCGTGAGAGAGAGAGAGGGAGTAAATGTATTTTACGAGAGAAGAGGATGAAAAGTAATCATTCTCTGTATCCCCTTCTGATGATAGAGCTCTTTCACTGTAAATAAGACCGATTGCTTCCTGGAGTCAGTACAGTAGTCAACTCAGACCAATTGCTCTATCGGACATCTTATTATAATGGTTATTAGTTTGGTAAAGAATGATAAAAGTCAAAGGGCTGATAGTTTTTTCTTCCTGATTGCGCATGTGTATACTTGTGTATGCATAATCTATAA